ATGAAGTCAGAACAAGATTTCGAGAGACTAGGGTAGGTATGGCTAAAGAACTGGAAACCAGTGCTAGAAAGAACTGCAGGTGGAGGGAAGGGTGACCAGAAGATGGAGGTTTTGCTATTGTCACTGATAAAGAAACAAACAAACAAAAACTCCTGTAATATAAGCACACATTTGTCCCTGACTGAGCTGACCCATATATCTTTTTCAGACCTATGTTGAATCTGTGCTTTGTTCATGTCTAGAGTCCAGGAATCTGAGACAGGAAACAGGTATGAACTGTTATTTTCCTTAGTGAATAAACATAAAATTTCCTATAGTCTAGTTATAACCCCAATTTTAACACCTAAGCCCCTGCATGGGGATTGAGAAATAGCATTCAGTTGGCCAGATCCAGTGACTTTTTCTCAATGTCCAATCTTTCTTGGTAACCTGTTTGCTTCCCTGTTTTTAATGGGGAACCATCCTTAGACTTATGAGTTGTCTCCTAAGCATGAGTCTAGTAGCTAGAATCTTGCTCTTTTAAATACATGACATAATTTTAAATACATGCCTATTACATAGGAGGCAACATCAGTCCTAGGAGATAAGCACTTGAACCATACTCATCCTAGCTTCCCTGATCTACAGAGATCTCTCAGTGTCTGAGACTGCCATTTGAGACTCCCTCCTAATTTCATTATTTTTATAGACAGCATACTCTACTTCCTCTAGGCTAGTTCTTGGTCTCCTTCCCCAACTCTGTCCCAATGACAACTGTGTCAAGCCACTACAGACTCCAAAGTATGACTGAATATTCCAAGTGTCAGTAATGAAAAGGTTAGTGTATATGGTTTGTAAATTATTTTGGTGATGTCTAGAGTCCCATGGTGGGGGGTGCCTTAGACATCACATGGAATGACTTAGAGGGATAAAGGGAAGACTTTTAGGTACTCTAGAGGCTTTACCCCCATGAAGCCAGTAAAGTTTCTGCTTTCTAACTTATTTTGTTTAAGCAACAGATCTGGCAAAACAGAAGTTTGAAAAACAATGGTGATGAGATGTTATTTTAGCTTCAGTCAAAATAATTAACAGTGTGATACAAGGATGGACCAATCAGAATGGATACTGGTACTGGGGTCTCCAGAAGTCTCCTTTTAGTTGTTAGCTCCCTGGGTGGGGGAATCAGATGACCAGGGCAGTAGAGGGGTGGAAGGGACACACAGGGATCTCAGACCACTGCTCCTTACCAATCAATATAAAAATAGTTGCATTTTCATAACCAGTATGGCTATGTCTTAGAAGCTACATAGTAAGTCAGGAATCGAGTTAGGACTCTAACTTAGATCTTCATTTCCTGGGGAAAAATACAAAACTCCTTAATACTGGCAGTTATGTTACCATTTTTAACAATGATCTCAACATGTAAAAAAATAAGCAGTCTTTTCCGAATTTCTAGCTTCATCAACAACTCAAGCCAGTAAAGTAGTAGATATTGAATAACTGGTTATGAAACATTCTAATATACTTCCTTTTACATTTATTTATTTTCATGGGTTCTGAAAGAAAAAGTGCTAAAGATAACTAACCATTTTTTAAATATTCAAAAATTGTATTAGTGGAAAATGACTGTTCTGCTCAACACATATCCCTTTTTAGTCAATTTTCAAATTCTGGGATCATTACAGATAGTTATAAAGATCAGCATGAGGCTGCAAGAAACTAATAATCAGAGAACACTTTTGGGGACAACCAGCTATCGGTGTATCATTTCCTAGTTTGTCGATGAGCATTTTTTGAAAGGAAATTCTGACATGCATGATTACTTACAATAATGTGCTTTCGCTTTCCCTCTGGAAGGATAAAGCATAATTACAGGCTTATGTAACATGGTACCTCACTTGTAAATTTGTGAAAGAAGCTTCTTTTGTTGACAGGTCTTGTGTTGGCCATCTGTTTGCATGGGATGCAGCCCGAGTGCTCCCCTAATTGGCCATAAATTAGGTGTCAACAGCAGGTTCTTGACAGGAGGCTTCAGTTACACTTTGGTTGTTTCTCAAGCTGTGAATTCGACATTTGGTGGGAAGAGCCATTTCCCTTCTGCGAGTACAAAAATGCATGTTTTGAGTTCTACGTGCAGGCTCTCCTCCCTATCATTCTATTCAAAGGCCTCTCTCAAGGCCTCCTCTCAGTGTATATTCCTCAGGATCAACTTCTGCCAATTAGACAGAAAAACTGCTAGATCAGAGGGGCTCCCGCGCCTTCTGCAAGAGGAGAGTGCATTTACTGAATGCTTACTACGCATCCTGTGCTGTGCATGGACCTTTGTGCAAAAGCAACTGTTTGATCTTCCAACCAATCGTAATTTAGGTATTAGGAACCTATTTTGCAGATGAGGAAGCTGAGATTTAGCATTTACATAACTGTCCATATTAAGTGTTAAGTAACAGCTCAAACATGGTTGACAAAGCCAGAGCAAAGTATATACGACTACATTTGAAAAAACGAGAAAATTCGGATGAGGGCCAAAGTGTGTACAAGATGCTAAGTGGTGTTCCTTTACTCTTCAGGCCCACAGTATACGAGATTGAAGAAGCAGGACCAGATGGCCCATAAAATCCCATCTAGTTTGTTTCTCTGATTAATCTGGGCTTTGTCATTTACCAGGAAATCTTATCAAGTTATTAAACTTCTATGGGCTTCAATTCCCTCTTCTGGCTACCTTCGGGAATGGATGCCATGCATGTGAAAATTCCCAAATTATAAAGACTGTAGGGATATAAACTGATGAGGTAACCTATCCACCCTAGACACCCAGCATATCCTCACCCCACCGGTGACTCCTTCCCTGGCTAGATTTTCTCACTTTACACTTTATTTTTTTTTTTTAAGATTTTATTTCTAACTAATCTCTACACCCAATGTGGGGCTTGAACTCATGACCCTGAGATCAAGAATCAGATGCTTTTCCAACTAAGCCAGCCAGATGCCCTTCTTGCTTTATATTTTAGAGGCAAGACCAAGGCCATATTGAGTTCCCATAACTTTCCTTAGCTAAATCTCTACAAATTTTCGACTTCGCCTCTTAGAAAACAGAAGAAAAGAAGCATACATTCTCCAAGGATTCATTCCTTTTTTGCCCACAATTTCCTCCCCTGTGGCCCCATTTCCATCCAATAGTCCCTTTATTATTTCATTTCCTCCATCTTCATGGATGCATGTATGTACTCATCACAGGATATTCTCCAAGACTCACCAATGCCTCATGTTCCCCCTTCCCTTCTTCCTTTCCTTCCTTCCTTCCTTCCTTCCTTCCCCCCTTTCCTTCTTCCTTCCCCTCTTTCCACCAAGTTCTTAAAAGAATGAACCCTTAGTCTGGGTGATCTCACTTCCTTAGCCCCCACTCACTCTCTGCAACCTGGACTCCATTCTCACCACTCGAGTGAAGTTTTTTTCTCCCAGGATACTGACCTATTGGCCTTTTCTCTGTCAGCCTCCGGCTTCCATGTACATTGGACACCTTTTACACAAGTTCATCCAGTCCCTTGGTTTCAGCTGCTAACTCTACGTAAGCAAATTTGAAGTTAATTTTAAGTTAACTCCAACAAGAGTTCTTGTCCCACGAATTCTACCTCCTGCAGACCATCTGTTCTTGAGTATCTCACTTGTATGTCAGGTTCATTGTATTTTTGATGGAATACCACTGTGCTTCCCAAACTGAGTCTTCTCTACATCTTGTAGATCATCTCTCAATCCTGACTATACCCCTAGTTTCTTCCTTGGCCTTTTCATTCGGTCAAGGAGTAAGCCCTCAGGTTTTACCTTTTCATCTGAATGCATTCCTCCTCTAGCTGGTCTTATGATCACCACATGGATTTACAGATGCTAACCAGATATACCCCTCCTACTTCACCTCTAACACATTTTACAGAGCCTTCTGGGATTATTCTTCCAAATACAGTGATATAGTGGTGCTATTTTGTTGGCATGAAACTGTCAGTTACCTTCATCCCAACGGCGAGTGTTCGTGGTGAACCAGCCCCAACGCGTCTGTGAGGCACCTGTCACCGCAACTCACCCGCCTCCCCTGCCACAGCGCCAAGCCAGCCAGTGCCCTGGATTCCTGCTCCTTCACCAGTACTGCTGTCCTTCACTCTACTCACTGGCCTCTCTTGTACTTCCGGATCCACCTCATCGTACCGCAAGGGGGTGCTCTGGACCCTTCCCACTTTCTGCCGTGTGTGGAGGCTACACCTGCTCTAGCAGAAGCGAACCCCCGCAAGCAGCATCTGTGCTGCCTCTCAGACTCTTCTCGCAGCACAGAACACAACGCCTTGTACACGGTAGAACCTCAGTAAGACGTGAGGGAAATAAAGAGAATGAGCAGGTGATGTTGTTTCTGGGAACCAGATGAGGAGTGTCTGTGTCAGACGTCAGTCTGCAGCTGTGCTGTTGCTCTGGTTCTAGAGATCCAGTGCCAAGGGGCCTCCAGAACTGACATGTGTGGATCTAGTGGGACCCCTCTCCCCATAGAGCTCACGGAGCTCCACCCCTAACTCCATCGTCTGGACTGCTCACTTCTGGCCCCATGGCACGGTCCACGGACTCTCACAGCCTCTTCCAGCCCCGTGGCTGAACTAATGGTGTGCTTTACAGTGCTTTCCCTCGGGTCAGGCACTTGGCTTTTCTGATAAGCTCTCTCTCTCTCTCTCTCTCTCTCTCTCTCTCTCTCTCTCTCTCTCTCTCTCACACACACACACACACACACAGACACACGGTGTGGCTAAGCACCCTGCGAAAGATCTCAAGGACAGAATGGACAAGAGGGAATGAGGATCACAGGGAAGGAGAATTCCTTCCCATTCCAAGAAAAACAGGAAATGAGAATCAAATACAAAACTCATTTTAAAATGAAACAGTATAAAACAAGGATTGACAACTCCATAAAACAACATCTAATTCTAAGAACTGACGCAGGCCACTGACAGGTGCGTGTGGGATGCACAGTAAAGCAAGGTACTCACTCTCTGTCGATGACCAGGCAGGTCACAGCCTCTGCAGCAATTACGTTGGCGGTCCTCACATCCTCCCTGTGGGAGAAAAGAGTGAGATTGAAGTAAAATCACTTTTAACATCAAAGAGAAGGGTTCATTGTGATTAATTTCAGGAAACATGGTAAATTACGTGTACCTCTCAGATTTATCCACCCTCAGGGTTAAGCTTTGTTCATGTTTGAAAGTTCCTTGTCCTAAGGAACCACCATACTTTTACCATTAATCCCACAAATCCTACAGTTGATAATCCAGGAGTTATAATTTTCTATCTTGAGTTTCGTTTCTAGAAGTGAAGCAAAATTTTACACCATCATTCCCTGTGCTCTTTGGGGAATCTAAGAATTAACTGGATGGTGAAAAGGATGGTAATGGATGATGGTAATTAGAATGTTTAGAGGATTTTTCTGGGCACTGAGTATCTAATCCATTTGTGTATGAATTTATTATTATGACCTTGAGAACAATGGATCTGTTTTAATTATCACCTTAGAGACCCTGTTTTAATGTGGCTAACCTTTTGACAACTTATAATACACAGTTATTCATCTATACCAGAAAATTATTTGACAAATTTTAATTGCTCTGATTGAAATATGTGTATGTATATATACATACAGTATGTATATATATATACAGTTTCTTTGGAAGCATCCAATTTGTCACTTCAGGTATATCTACCAACCTCTTAAACCTTTAAAAATTTGTTCTTGTATTTCTTGTCTTAACCAGAGGTCAAAGATTTTGTAAATTAACATTCACATTTCATTCTGAGCTACTAAAAATTTAATAGTATTACTGCATGGAAACATTAAGTTATACTTGAAAATGTACTGCTTTTCCTAGAAAAGATTTCTGAGTTAATATAATTAACAATAAATATAAGTTTGAAACACATTATAGGGAAACATACATCGAAATAAGATAGTGTTAGTAATACATCCTAAAAATCATAATCCAAACATCATAGATCTCTAATAATAGGCTTTTCAAGTCTTGGAAATAAAGATGTACCCACTGAATTTTTAATATTTTCAAAATGCACTACATTCTCACACACAGATCTGAAATCAGTTCTTCCACTGATCTGTTCTCTCTCATTGCTGCCACGCCATGCTATTAAAATTACACTTGCTTTATAATAGCCATCAATATTGAGTATTTGGTAAACACTTTCCTCCTTACTATGATTCATTTTTTTCAGAAATATCTTGGGGCACCTAGGCGACTCAGTCACTTAAGCGTCCAACTCTTAATTTCGACTCAGGTCATGATCCCAGGGTCGTGGGATCAAGCCCTGAATCGGGCTCTGTGCTGATGGTGCAGAGCCTGCTTGGGATCTCTCTCTCTCTCTCTCTCTCTCTCTCTGTCTCTGTCTCTCTCTTTCTCTCTTTCTGCCCTTTCCCGAGCACATGCATGCTCTCTCCTTCAAAAATAAACATAAAAAACCACCCCAGAAATATCTTGATGATATTGTTAAGCAGTCATACTTCACAGAGACTTTAAAATCATTTTTCCACTTCTACAGGAACCCACATTGGGATTCTGGTAGAGTTGTATTACATTTATACATTGATTTCAGAAGAAAGATTTTTGATTATATTAATTTTCTATACATGATACATGCATCATGTATACATGCATGATAGAACATTCTTCTTTAAGTAAGATTTCTTCATCTTTTTTGCTAGGTCCAGATTTTTTTAAAAAAGGAATTCTTGATGGGGCACCTGGATGGCTCAGTTTATTAAGTGTCCCACTTTGACTCAGGTCATGCTCTCGTAGTTTGTGGGTTTAAGCCCTACGTCAGGCTCTGTGCTGACAGCTCAGAGCCTGGAGCCTGCTTTGGATTCTGTGTCTCCCTCTCTTTCTGCCCCTCCCCTGCTCACACTCTGTCTCTCCCTGTCTCAAAAATAAACATTAAAAATTTTTTTTAAAAGAATTCTTGGGTGTTTTATATCAATAAGTTTTCTTATGAAAGCAGTCTGTTTCCATTTCTGTTTCTCATTGGTTATTGCTATTAAAGAAAAAGATGCTATCGATGATTATATATCTAAATTTTTTTTACATTTATTTATTTTTGAGAGACAGAGAGAGACAGAATATGAGTAGGAAAAAAGGCAGAGAGAGGAGGATACACAGAATTCGAAGCAGGATCCAGGCTATGAGCTGCCGGCATATCCCAAAGCAGGCCTTGAACCCATGAACCATGAGATCATGACCTGAGCGGAAGTTGGACGCTTAAACCAGTAGGGCCATGCAGTCACCCTGATGATTATGTATTTTTAAACCACATGTCATACTAAGCTCTCTTCTGATTCTACAACTCTTATTATGGTCTCCTCAACTCCCAGTAGGATTCTACCAGCGTCTGCCTCACATCCCCACCCTCCAGCCAAACTGGCCGCCATTTTTCTCTGTTGAATGCTTCACACGCCTCCTGTCAGGACTCCCTCACTCGCCCTCCTGGCCCGGGAGGTGCTTCCCCAACTCCTTGACTAGTTCACCCCTGCTGACCCTTTAGATCTTGGCCCACGTATCTCTGCCTCAATGAACTAGAATCAACCCGCCCAGGCTCCCTGTTCACCTGTGCTCATGGCCTATGTATTTCTCCACCCGAGCACCTGTCAGTTTGGAACTTAGACATTTATATGTGTGGTCACTTGGTCCCTTGGATGATTGTATCCCCCTCCCCCTAAACCATAGGAGGGCAGTTCCCTGGCTGGTTTTACTCCTTGTTTTACCCAGAATGCCGGGCCTGTGGGAGGTGTGTGGCAGGTGAGTGGTACAAGATGGCACAGCCCGGAGCCCACGGGTAGGACCGCACAGAGCAGGCTCTGGACTCGCACTGTGCTGGTTTCATGAGACAGGCTATGAACTACGCAAAAGCCTCAAGTATCGGAACCGTAAGTCTGCCCACTCACTGTAGGGTAAGAAATGCGATAAAGGGATGCTTATCCTAATGCCCAACCATGGACAGCAGCGTGTTTTTCCATTTATTCTGATTGTTCTGATCCCTTGTGCGGCCACGCTGTCCAACGTTTTGTGAAACATTCCTAGTCAACAGAGTGCAGATTTTCTTTCTGCTCCAAGGGAGCAGACAGTATATTTTCAACTCTGTTACTTTCTGAGCAGGGATTTTTTTTCAGTGCAGTGGATACAACAGGCAGAAAATCTCACTAATGCCCACCATTAGGTCCTTCATTTATCACACAAATAACTTATTTCTTAGGAGACTGCTCATGGTGGTATGTCACTATACAATGCTGCTAAAGAAAAAAAAAAAAAAACACCCAGAAAACAGAACTCCCATCATGGTTTTATAGAAAATATTTAAATCTGAATTTTCCTAAAATATATTATCATCTTGACAATTTAGAAACTGCTCACGAAGTCCTTAAAATATAATATACACAAAATAATGCTTTCTTTTGAATCTACTTTCTACACATAGTAATTTTTAAAATGATTTCATCACAAATTTCTAATATTTTAAGATGTTATTATGTTATCTGGCCTAAATTGGATATACTTTTTTAAATGAATGTAATTTTCTTGCAACAAAAGAAAACACATCAATGTTTTAAAATATAGATGAAATGGGGCACCTTGGTGGCTCAGTTGGGTGAGTGTCCAACTTTGGCTCAGGTCATGATCTCACGGTTCGTGAGCTCGAGCCCCATGTTGGGCTCTGTGCTGACAGCTTGCCCCTCCCCAACTTGTACTCTATCTGTTTCTCTCTCTCGTTCTGTGTCTCTCAAAAATAAGTTTTTTGAGAGTTTTTAATAAACATTAAAAAATTAAATAAAACATACATGAGGAAAAGTAACTATCAGAAGAAATTGTCAGTAGAAATCAGAAATATTTTATTTTAAAAAGGAAAACCTGTATTTTCCTTTTTAAAATAAAAAGCCCTACAATTAAGTTTAGTGCCTAGTTAAGTGACATATATCAAGACAGAGAAGCTGTGTAACATGGGGAAAACAATATATTAAATATTAGATGACAACATTTGCTATTAACTGATTATCTAGTATATAACAGGAACCATCTTTGCCAATTCACACAAATCTCATTCAGTGGATACAGCAGAGGGGAGCTATTGTATCTCAGATTTACACATGAGGACAGAGGTTAGGTAACATGCCTCAAGTCAAACATAGCTAGTGAATAGGCGCTCTGGAATCTGAACAGAGGTCTGGCTCAAGGGCTATGTCTTTCTGCAAAAGTCCACTGTGTATACACTCTGCTACCAGATTTCATTTTGACAACAATTCTCAATGCATTCTAGTGCAAAATAACTTAGGAGCACTATGTAGTCATAATGTCTATCTGTCATCATAAAAAATACATTCGGTTGTTAATAGAAACAATATAAATAGCTTTACAGGTGCTCAATTGCAAAGCCAATGCAATGAGCCCTTTTGTTTCTCATATTGTTAGAGTTCCTATCCATGGCTATGTTCTAGCCCTGATATGTTGCTTTAAATTAACGTTACATTACAATAGGAAACTGTTAAACGCCGAATTCATTTAATGCCAAACTCATATTGACACTGTGCTGTCATTACATCTCTACTATTTAGGTGTTTAATGTCATTGTGCCTGTTGACGCAGGTGTCTAGAAATGCTGTCTCTGAGAGTCCAGAGAAGCTGCTTTTGTGAGAGACAAAACGCTATCTGATCTAGTATCAACATACGTTAATCCCTTATTTTAGAAGGGATGGTAGAAACTTCTAATGAGAGAATATTATTCATATAAGCGGACAATACTGTGACTTACTGTGCCTGTTGATTTCCTTTGTAGGTCCAAGCAAATATCTGGATTGAGATATGAAACATTACACACTCCTATAACACACAGGTCCTAATAGCTCCATGTGGTTATTGAACTTATCTCTATCCACACATAGCTGATTTGATAGTGGCTTCACACAGAACACCCACCAAGTTCACAGGGGCTTCATGTAACACTGGCTGAGATGTGAGAAAGAGTTTTAAAAACTGAGCTTTCTTTCATTTTTACTTTTTTTTGTCAG